GTTGAACCCTATCCACCAAAGCTAAGCATATGAGTAGCCGGTGACCGTACAATTAGACGCCCAGGCAGATCCTAGGAAATGTGTTCAGATACACACAAAAAGCCTTGTACAATAATGCTCGCTGTAGCGCTACTCATTATATGCCTAAATTGGAAACAACCAATCACCTAGTCAGTAGAATGGATGAGTTCTGGTGCATTCATAGACCAAAATACTCAACAGCAATGAAAATAAGCAGACTCCCGCCACATGTTACCACATGGTGAATCTCACAAATGTAATATAGAACAAAAGAAGCCAGATACACAAGAATGCATACTAAATGATTACACTCATGTAAAGTTCAAAAGTGGGCACTACTAATCCATGTGGTTAGAAGTCAGGAGAGTGGTTACCATTGTGGAGAAAGTGGGGAGCTCAAGGGGGCCAGGGGGCCTCCCAAGCTGGTCTTTGTTTCTTGACCTGGGTGCCCGGTTACATGAGTGTGTTCACACTGTCAAAATTCATGGAGCTGCACAGTTATGATTTGTGTAATTCTCTGTACATATTAATATATTTCAAGAAAAAGTTTACTGAAAAACAAGCTGCTGCAAAATTCAGCAGATATCTTGTTAAAAAAAAACGGGGCCTTAAAGCAGTAATGTAGGTTTTATTATTCTATGAAAATTAATTTTCTGTATGAGAAACAATCACTTCTATTCAAATATTACCTTACATAAAAGGAGAAATATTTAAAATATACATTTATACTATAAAATGAGAATATATGTTATCCTTACATCATTTTGCAGTTAACAAATAACTTTTTTCAACATCAACTTACCTGAGTTGCTTTGCATAGCTGAGTTCAATCTCTGTCCTTTCTTTCACAAACTTGATACATTTCTCAAGAGTATCAATTCCCCACTGTGTGTGTTTTTCTAAGTTGTCAAACTGATCCTGTTAAAACAAACCAAGACGGAAGTTATAGTCTTTCCCTGTGATTAACATAATTTCAATGAATAATTCTCTTAACAATATATTACTACATACAAAGTAGTACTAATATTTTCCATGATTATACTTGAGGTGCTTTTTTGTTGAGCCATTTTTAATCAACATTACCAAATTTGGTTTGAAAACTGCCTGCAGTACTGAACTCGAACCTATTCATTCATATTTCCTATTCCTTTTAGAAACATAATTTTTAGATATAACTGATGTCTCAGTGCAAAGAAAAATGTCATTCCCAGACGCCAAAAACCGACAGGTGAAACACACACACAAACGCAGCCACACACGATTTGCAACTTAACTGTTATCTCTGGGTAATCATTCAAAACAGCTGATTGAATCTGAGCTGAGGAACTGGGTGGGGGAAGCATTACAAAATTTTGCTTTCTTCAAATGATTAAAATAAAACACATGGATTTTATTATTTCAAACATATAACAAGCCTACATTGTGAGCCAATAACACTGCCTGGAGCTGGGGAACCAAAATGAACAAAAATACAGCCTGAGTTTGCCTTGTGCCTCGGGGTTTCTGGTCTGGAAGAATGAGAGGGAGCCCGGGTAACATAGTGAGACCCCATCTCTACAAAAAATTTTTAAAAATTAGCCGGGCATGGTGTTGTACCACTGCACTCCAGCCTGGGTGTAAGAGCATGACTCTGTCCCCCCAAATAAACAATGAGAGGGGACAGGTATGCTAGCAACAGCTACTGCAAAGACATGGAGATATCCAGGAATCGGGTGGATCTGTCCTGCTTGAGTGCAAGGTGGAGGTGGGTGGGGCAGAAGGGAACTGGAGTTGGCGAGTGATGAAACTAAAGACAGCCCAGGACTAGATCACCCAAGGCTTTGAAGGATGAGCTTAGCAGTTTAGACTGTCCAGCAGGCACAAGAGGACTTGGAAGAGGAAGCCAGGAAATGGCTCCAACAGTCTAGATGAGACAAAATAGGCACAGAAGGGAAGAATTCCTGGGACATTTAACAAATACAATCAACCAGTGTGTGAGTGGCCGATTGGATGTGGAGGCTGGGAAGGGTATGAGGGGGAGGGAGGATTCCAGAGTGACTTTCAGGTTCTGCTTCCCGGAATTAAACAGAAGATCCAGATAAGAAAGAGCTACAGTTTGGGGTGAAAATTAAATGTCGTTTTGACATGTTGAATGAGGGACTGGCATGTCCAGAAGAGAGCTGGAAACACAGAAGGACTTAGAACTCAAGAAGGGCGGGGGGTGAGTAGGTGGATCTGAAGCAACAGCCGAGGATCAGAAAACCAAAGATGACAACAAGGATGCACAGAATTAACAAAGAGGGCCTGGCCCGGGAAGTAGAGCCCAGAAAGGACTAAGGGGAACGAGCCAGAGAGGGCATGAGCACGTCACAGGGAAGAGAGAATTTCAATGGAAATGGGATTCTCCATGGAAAATTTGCTGCGTCCTGAGAGGTAACAGTCATAGATGAGGGTTCTAGCCCCAGCAAAGGGATTTCACAGAGACAGGCCCCCAAATGTTTCAAGTTTTAGTCATTTGCCTGTAAGACACAGATATAATCTAATTTCCTAATTTCACAACTCAGTCGTGAGGATCATGCGAAATGCGGAAGTACCAACTCAAATATAATAATATAAAGCTAGTATTTAATCCTATGCTTGTGCAATCTAACAGTATACATTTAATGTCTTCAGACTGTTTTCTGTTTGTTGGCTGGTTGGTTTTGAGACAGAGTCGTGCTCTTTCACCCAGGCTGCAGTGCAGTAGTGTGATCTCAGTTTGCTGCTGCTTCCCAGGCTCAAGTGATCTTCCCACTTCAGCCTCCTGAGTAACTAGGACTATCGGCACCCACCACCATGCCTTCACTAATTTTTGTATTTTTTGTAGAGAGGAGGTCTCACTATGATGCCCAGGCTGGCCTTGAATTCCTGGGCTAAAGTGATCCTCCTGCCTTGGCTTCCCAAAGTGCTGGGATTATAAATGTGAGCCATTGCCTCCGGCCGGCCTGTTTTTTTTTAAACCACTTTATTGAGATATAATTGAGATTTTGGCTGGGTGAGGTGGCTCACGCCTGTAATCCTTGCACTTTGGGAGGCCGAGGCGGGTGGATCACTTGAGGCCAGGAGTTCGAGACCAGCCTGGACAACATGGTGAAACCCCATCTCTACTAAAAATACAAAATTAGCCGGGTGTGGTGGCACGCACCTGTAATTCCAGCTACTCAGGAGTCTGAGGGAGGCGGGAGAATTGCTTGAACCCGGGAGGCAGAGGTTGCAGTGAGCCAAGATCATGTCACTGCACTCCAGCATGGGTGATAGAATGAGACTTTGTCTCGAAAAATTAAATACAAAATAAAAATAAATAAAAATCAGTGCAAAATGTTTGTCTTTTTTTTTTTTTTGAGACGGAGTTTCGCTCTGTCGCCCAGGCTGGAGTGCAGTGGCGCAATCTCGGCTCACTGCAAGCTCCGCCTCCTGGGTTCACACCATTCTCCTGCCTCAGTCTCCCGAGTAGCTGGGATTACAGGTGTGCCCGCCCTGGCTAATTTCTTTTTTTTGTATTTTTAGTAGAGACGGGGTTTCACCATGTTAGCCAGGATGGTCTCGATCTCCCGACTTCGTGATCCGCCTGCCTCGGCCTCCCAAAGTGCTGGGATTATAGGCTTGAGCCACCGCGCCCGGCCCAATGTTTGTCTTTATAACTAATAAGTTTTAATATTTAAAGTTGATTCTTGGTCCTCAATAATATATACTCCACAAACCCCTAGATTTCAGTTTAAGAAACAATAGATTATGTTATCGGTAAAGTCAAGGGTCATCAAGTAAGCTAATAGTGTAAACAAGACTGCAGATCAATTTAAACTACTTGAGAGAACAAATATACACACAATTCAAGCTATGATTACAAATTGAGCACGCGACTTTGTCAAAGCCCTCTGCTTATCAGTAACCCTTTGTGGATCTAGTTTCACAGTAATCATATTTATTTTTAAAATGATTAACAATTAGCAGGGCATCATGGCACATGCCTGTAGTCCCAGCTACTAGGGAGGCTGAAGCAGGAGGATCACTTGAGCCCAGGAGTTCGAGGCTGCAGTGAGTCATGATCAGGCTACTGCACTCCAGCCTGAGCATCAAAGCAAGACCCTGTCTCAAAAAACAAAAACCAAAAACATAAACACCCTTCCCTTTATTTAAAAGCCCTCTCCCAGCTGGCTGTGGTGGCTCACATCCAAAATTCCAGCACTTTGGGAGGCCATGGTGGGCGGATCACTTGAGGTCAGGAGTTTGAGACTAGCCTGGCCAACACAGTCATCTCTACTAAAAATACAAAAGTTAGCCAGGCATAGTGGCATACACCTGTAATCCAAGCTACTCAGGAGGCTGAGGCAGGAGAATCCATTGAACTCAGAAGACGGAGCTTGCAGTGAGCCGAGATTGTACCACTGCACTCCAGCCTGGGCGACAGAGAGACTGTCTCAAAAAAAAAACAAAAACAAAAACAAAATAAAAAACAAAAACAAAAAAATGTGGCCAGGCGCTGTGGCTCACGCCTGTAATCCCAGCACTTTGGGAAGCTGAGGCGGGAGGATCACCTGAGGTCAGGAATTTGAGACCAGCCTGGCCAACATGGTGAAACCCTGTCTCTACTAAAAATGCTAAATTAGCCGGGCACGGTGGTGCGCGCCTATAATCCCAGTTACTTGGGAGTCTGAGGCAGGAGAATCACTTGAGCGGAGGTTGAAGTGAGCCGAGATCGCACCATTGCACTCCAGCCTGGTCAAAAAGAACGAAACTCCGTCTCAAAAAAAAAAAAAAAAGCCCTCTCCCTGTATGATTTCCCATCATCTCCAAAGCCTTTATTATTCTCAGCAGTCATAGATGCCACCTTGAAAACTTGCTAAGAGGACATGCTCTTAGGTTTCATTCTTGGCCTGTTAACAGCCTGACTACAGATTTCCCCCCATCATATCACTTTGCATTCAAACTGATGTATACTGTACAAAGCAATAGCTTTCGATACCAAAGCCCTTAAACACAACAGAAAAAGCCCATCTACATTTGAATTGAGTCCACCTTAAAAATTACTGGCCTCAATCCAACAATATGTTTTCCATAAATTCATCTGTATTCAGGACCATTCTACAAGCAATAATAAAGCGTATACCAAGATGACAGAGTCCAAATAAGATAGAAGATCTTAAGAATAAAAACCTTACTCAGTAACAAATGAGCTGGTGCTTGTTTGTGACTATAGAAGAGTTCTTTTGATGCTCTGTGAAACCTGAGGATGCCCCCACGCTCTTGCTATCACATGAATTGCTGCAGCACTGACTTGACAGCAGCTAGAAGAAAATTCAACACAGATGAAAAACTAATCAACCCACTTACATTCTTGACTAAAATGTGGAAAAGTTAATGGAAAAAAAAAAAATCCAAATCTTAAAAGGACTCCTTTGTGAGCAAATATTATAAATGGTTCTTTAAAAACAGGCTTTGCTATTTGGGGATGGTGTCATCAAAAATGCAGCCCTTCCTGCTTGATGTCACATCATAGTGGTTCTGGGGACCCCTTTGCCCTCTTAAAAATCACTGACAACCAGCCAGCCACGGTGGCTCACGCCTATAATCCCACCATTTTGGGAGGCCAAGGTGGGTGGATCACTTGAGAACAGGAGTTCAAGACCAGCCTGGCCAACATGGTGAAACCTCATCTCTACGAAACAAAAACACAAAAAGTAGCCGGGCATGGTGGCACACACCTGTAGTCCCAGCTACTCAGGAGGGCGAGACACGAGAATCACTTGAACCCGGGAGGGAGAGGTTGCAGTGAGTGGAGATCATGCCACTGCACTCTAGCCTGGGGCGACAGAGTGAGTGAGACTCTGTCTCAAAAAAA